GTTGTACAAATCACACAACTTGTGAAGACAACTTACATAGAAGTTCGTTTTCTTCGCTCATAAATTCGTCAGAACATTTGATTGAGTGCTTGGCAATCCGCACTGCTGGTTCCCTGTTAGAGATGTGCTTGAGAGACAGTCGTACTTCTGCAGTCACTTTCCACTGACAAGTCACATTTCAGCCAACTTAATCACATTCCAAGGGCTCTAACAGGAACACGTTACAGATCAGGCGAAGCTGCAGTTGCTACTGATTAGGTGTTGAGTAAACAGTGGCGTTTTAAATAAACCAATTTGATTTAAACAAATCCTCCGCATTTGAGTGCACTTTTAAGTATGTTTGTAGTGAAAGGTCTAGTCTGGGTGCGGTGGCGTCACAGCTCTACTTTTGACATGGTTTCTATGTCCGCACTCAGACGAGAATATGCCTCAGCGTGCTAAGTAGTGATACTTCGCGGTATTCCAATGTGTCCTCAACAACGGCGATGCCAATTTAAGAAATGAACCCCAGATTCACCACCGATTGGAAGTAGTTCGTTAACCCTCAAATTTGTCGCTGTTCTTCTTCATAAGAGAGTGATTTGAATTGAGAGGTGGTATGAAGACTTTGTAGAGTTGGCAAATGGTTTAAATCATGCGGGAATTTGGTGTTGGATAAGAACGGGTTTCCACACAGTGCCATATCGACTGTCAAAGCCCAAATTTCTGTAAATCCACCCACACACTGCCACACAGTCCCACATTGTTGCACGTGCTCTGTCTACTTATGCAGGCACAGCTTCCTCACAACGAGACGCAGTTGCCTGTGTTCTGGCAAACTTGAGTAAATTGATCTCTCCAAACGCATCGTTGCATAATTTTCAAATTTCAAACTCAACTGCTTTCGTCTGAGGTTGTATTACTTTTGCCAATAAAAAAAGACAAAACAGCAATTCGTAGTAAAATCCATCCGTCATGTCCTCTCACCAGAACCTTCTTCAACTGGATGTCCCCTTTCGGCGTCGACGTACTTGGTTGCCGGGGATCTACTCGCGACACTTTTACGCTTGGGATTCTCGTAAAAATGCACATTTCATCCACAAGAAGTTAATTCGCTGCTTGTTGCCGGCGGGCAAGCAGTGAAGACCAATGTTGTGTTCGGCCATCACACACATGTGGAAGGGACCCAACTTCCAAGTTATTGAATTGTTCCTACTTGGTTGTGGAAACGCTTGGAAAAGGGTGTTTTGGTGACTCCTAACCAAGGTGCAAGCTCTTGTTGCGTTTGCGTTAGGCCTTCATCCAGTAGAGCTTGAAAATCACTCATCTTCATAGTTTTGAGGCTATAATTCGGTCAGGAACTTCGGAATTGCCACTTCTAAAACGTCGGCACTAGTGACAGCACGTTTCATAAAACCTAACGTCGGCATCAAGAATATTACAACTTGATTGTCGTGTCTTTGACACACTTTCTTCCTGCCTTGGAAGTCGCTGTCTGATAGTTGCGTTTGTGAAATCGGCTCTTATCAGAGGTAATGTAACTCAAACGCTTTCACTGGCAATCCAAGCTCAAGCTCTTTCTCATTTTTAAAGATATCACAAGCCGGACACATGTCTACCGATGGTAACTACAAGGGGTGAATGAATCAGAGGTTATGAAACTTCGATTTTTATTTTTATCGCCACAATTTGTTGCATCGGTATCCTAGATTTTTCAGCCTTTATCGTTTACGCCCTCGTGTCTGCCACTAAGGAATTCAAGTTTGACAGGTAATGTTCAATTGAATTAGAAAAAAAAAACTGGGAACAAAGAGGAAACCACTCAAATAACGGTACCAGATACCTTGTTGACGCTAGCACCAACCTTCCCACACTAATACAAGAGCAAGACCAGAGCTGGTGTAGGCAGCTTTAATCACGCCAGCCACGTGCGGAGTGATTTATCAAAAGTGAAACTAATTCAAGTCAGAGTTGACCTTGACTTGATAAAAAAGCGTAGTAAAACACATGTTTGGGCATTAGTGGCAGCTATTTTGACAGGGATCGCTGAAATGGTGTGTCAAATGAAGAGCCGAAATCGCATTCACGAAAGGCACATCGTGGGCACGTGAAGCGCTCTCACATGACGACTTGAGAGGAGGCAGTCGAAGCCACCATTAAAATCGCAGGCTTTTAAGACCAAAACGTTGATGCTACATAGTGATGCAAACATTCTCGTGATTTTGCCTACGCTAACCCAAACCACAACCTTCGGGCATCTGTTTTGCAAAGCGCGGATAGATTTGAAACCAAGCCAGATCACTCTGTTATGAAAGGCTGCGATGTTGAAGAAACACCTCAGCAGATTTTAAGTTTGTGTTCTATGTGGGTTTACCAACTCCCTAGATTTCCATCTCTACGACAATAACGAGAGGGTTCATGATTCATGTAAGGAGAACTTCCTCTAAAAATGTGCGGTTCTCTCTGGAGAAATGCCTGGTGTTTTGCCTGTACATTCTTCTTTGTGATTCAATTTGAATCACTGCAAAGCCAGTGAGGAATAAACACGGGCAATTCGAATGGCATCTCAGCTAATACCATCTATTCTTCTTTCAATCTCCGGTCTCACAATGAGAAAAGAGGAGTTTTAATTGCAGTTAAATTCATGCATAAGATAGTACCCACAAAACACGTCTGCCCCTAAAGCCCTAATCGAGAAGTAAGTGTAGCATGTAGCACGTTTGGTCAATCACTCCTTTTGTAATCCGCTTTGCACACGATGGTCGACAGAAACCGTCACCTCACTTGCCTCCTGCTCTCACTGTGTCCGGTACTCATCACACACTTCGTCAACCAACTTACCACCTGTTGCATGCGAACTAAAACTCGCCTCCTTCAAAACGCATTGTGAGGTCCGCCTTATGCCTCAAACCACGTAGTACTCTTCCAGATAAATGAATTCAAGTTTCAGAAAGCAAGTACAGTTAACAAGGGTTCCTCATGAGAAGAAAAATGTTTAGTCTCTATTCTAGTTAATTGTCACTAGCTAGAGTGATCCGCATCCACGTCCAGAGAGGTGGCAGGAAGATCTTGCAGAGCTAGCAGCTAAATCCACGAGGAACTTTCCCCAAAGGATAAGGCCATGTTTACACACAGTGCCAATTCGACTGGTTAAGTCCTCATTTATGTAAATCCACCCACACGCTGCCACACAGTCCCACAGCGTTGCTCGTGCTTGATCAAATTATGCAACCGCAGCTTCATTACAACGAGACGAGAGTGCAGGATCAGAGGTGTCCGCAGGAGTTATGAGCGCGGTGGGGACGGTTTCGGCACAGCTTGAAGTACCAAAGCACCCAGACGTGACGCGACGCAGATGAGGGACGTGGGTTGGCAGTGCTGCTTACGCTGCAGAAAAATCACACCAAACAACGCGTGATCTTTACAGTCTTTGCAGATCTGACGCGTAGGCGCAGCTGGTGGGTTGGGAGTTGTGGCGCACGCCTTCCATGCACAAAACGCTGAATCTCACGGCATTTAATTCATCATGAGTGGGAAAATTGTTTTCCACCCTAGTAGCACCTGATCTGAAAGCACAAAATTACCCCGAGGCCATCTCTGCCCTGCCTTTTCCATTAACCAATTAGATGTTTGCATACTTCCAGAGAATTCGCTGCTTTAGTGGAATGTGCGACCCTTTCTTTATTTGGCTTGAGCCTATCTATTTAGGCAGAGGTTCTTCGTTGGAAGGACGAATTCAGCAAGAAGATGTAGCTTAGAAGGGTTTGCCGGGGGACAAAACACCCATTGGCACGTTCAGCCTCTACTCTTGGTAGTAATTTTTAGATGGGTTGATCCCCATATGCTCCAGTTCTATTTTGTCTTCTTTTTTCCCCCAATGATTGACGAAAACCGTCACTCTGATTTGAAATTGCAGCAAAATCACAATCCTGTGTATCAATCAAGCGATTGGTGAACAAATCCAAGTGAACAGATGATTACACAAATGCCCTGTTGTGGCGCCAACACAAGTCGCCTCAATCATCCGTAGCTTCTTAAGTTGATGGTGCCACCGCATTCCTTACAAAAACTACGCACCACTTCATGAATTTATTCCTCTGGTAATCAGGAGAATTCAAGAAGTTGCCCATTTCCAGTCATCATTAAGTCTTCAGCGGTGGTACGATTATTCAATCAAAATCTCCGTCTCTGTTGAGCATCAATGAGGCAGTGTGCGCATGCATCGTGGTGCGAGGTGGTTAGATTCAACCCACGGAATTTGAATGTTTCAATTTACTCATTTATGCGTTGGCAGCAGAAAATCAGGTAAACATCTACCGCTGGGTCATGACTTTGCACCCAGAGCGCGCTGCCTACTGTGGAGGCGGGAATCGGGCTTGTTTGATTGTTACATCAAAGGCCGTGGGTCAGTCGTGTTATTACCTCACGGCTGGCACATCAATTCCTGTGTACGCATCTACTGTTATTACTGCTTTCGCCAACGTTTAGATGAGTCGTATTTTCGCCGACAACAGAATGCCTTCCCATTACTTGCCTCCCAAAGCACAGCACGACACGATTTTGCAGATGTCGATGAAACGACGCAACGTGGATTGCACAAGATGCCCGATGTAAAACGTCCTCAACTTCGATTATTCGACGTCGATTTAACACCTCACAATTACGCACATAATGGCTAATCACGGCGTATGATTTCATAATGGCTAATGTACGCATCTTCCCCATGACATTGAAATATCACATAATGCAATTTCTACCCAAGCACGCTGTGTTTTACAAAGTATCAACAGTGCGTATTGAGTGTTATTTTGGTTTAAAAGTCAGCCAATTTGCAGTGCATGGATGAAATTAAATGATCGTTTTGTTTGAAAAAAAAGAGCACACCTAGCTAAGGAATTGTGATGTTTCGATGCCGAACAAGCCAGTGAGATGCGCAGTACAGCACAAAAACGCTTCACATTTCAACGGTGTGGGAAGGCCTAGAGTGGTTATTTACTAAAATACTGAAATCATGCTGTTTGTTAATTAGTAAATATGCGATCTTTGTCATCGCCCGCGTCGTCTGCGAAGTTGAAAGTGATCTCGTTAAGTTTCATGGCCGATAATCGATAAATTTGGATGGCCTGCATGAAGGCGAGGTTGAAGAGGGAGAAGTAGAAGAAGCAGATGAAGAGGACGGTGAGTGCCAGGACGTAGACCACACCGATGAATCGATTGAGGGCGCCCTCGTCACCACAGGACACAGCCAGTGCCACATTGACTGCTTGGTAGGCCTCCTCACAGGGGAAGAGGTCACGGGTGAGCTGGGAGAATACTACACCACCGTCCTTCTCCATGAAGTCGAGCAACTCTGTGGTAACCTTGTCATACTCAGTTTCGACTTTGCCTAGCAACTTGGATTCCTCACCAGCAGCCTAAAATGCGTGGATAGACTAGTAGTAGGCTATGTGCTCGACTTCATGTTGGTACAATCAGCTGATAAAACAGACCGGTGCAGTAAAACCACATTAAACAGAGTTGGAATCTTAACTTGCGTCGTTTAGTCGCTCATGAGGCGGCCTTTACCTGCTCCCCTTTATATTCCTTCTGGTACACCTTTAAACCTCGGTGTCTGCTATAAAATCATTAATTACCCATCATCTCTTAATGTCTGCCGATTAAAATCGCTTCACCACCATGTCACAAGAGTATCACTCAATCCGTGATATGGTAACCCCACTCGGATAGGCGCTGCTTCACGTGGAACAAGAACTGCAAATACGGCTATAAATTTAGTTTTTTGGTAGGCTGATGGATGAAAAACTGCCAAACTTTCGTGCAAAGGTACATATGCGAATAAAATGTCAACTTACATCAATGGTTATTTTAAAAGCCTCAACTAGTCCCTCAACAGGAGGCAGAATGTCGTTTTTGTGGTGGTCAACGTTTAGAAGATGTCCGCGCGTGGTTTGCATTTGCGGTTGGAGATTCCTTATTAGAATGACAACTTCTTTTAGGGAGGCGATTCCACTATGAAAGTCACTTTTTGTGGTTTGGTTGCTAGAAAAAGACTCTAGCAGGGAAATAAGCTGTTCGATTGGTGCAGGATCCAGAAAACTAAAGTCCGTCGAGTTGATGAGTGCCTGAAAGGACGAATGCACGAGGTGTTGGCCTCTTCTACCCAGAAACGGCAAATACTGTCAAACTATGATCGACCAGTCTACGTCGACCCTCGAAGGAATTACTCGAAGAATCGTTTGGACAGAGCGGTCGATCACATGCGTTGATCCATAAATGATTTATTTTTGTAGAATGTGCGTGAACATTGTCATTTCAAAATAATTTAAGATTTTGAAAAGACTGAAGATCTAGGTTGATAAGTGTGCTTGCACGATTTCTCTATTAGAACGTCAAATAGAAAAGAACTTACAGATAGATTAAGACTTGTTATTGCTCTTTTGAGACTGTCTTTCGCATTGTCTACCTCATTTTCCTTGGGCAGTTTTGATGGAATATCAAGATTCTTCAGCTCAGTTTTAATAATTCTGAAAAGTGAAGGAAAACCTCAACTCAAGACATGGTCCCTGTAAATTTTTCGGCGATGCTACCAACTATGAATTTTTGCTGGTTCTCAGTCAAAGCGAAAAGGATTCTTCAGGTAGTTTAGTTACCATTTTCGAAAGTCATTAACCTTACCCACCACCGTGAAACGGCACACTATTTGTCCGATTTATTGCAATATGTGTTTGTGACAAGAATAAACAGCAAATTTACGATTTCGTCGCTAAATAAATTCCTCATTTTGCAAAGCAATTTCACCTATCGCGAATGTGAGATCGCTACAGCCATAAATAATTAAAGATAGATCGATTTTTCAAGCAACTATCATTGGAAAGATTATTCTGCACGTGGAAAGGGTATGAGGAACGAACCTCTTTCCTTCGGCAATTCCCTCCTGCACTTGTGGGCTTTTGACCAATTTCGAGACATCCACCAGATTGGTGTACCCCACGGCAGAGAGAAGGCCACTTCTGGGTGACTGCTTTGTGCTGCCACGACAGGTGTGGGTGAGGGCATGGAGCACGTGCTTGGGAGGTGGAATGTCGAGGAAGTCGTTGGCTCCTCCAATCGACCCACCGACAAGTGACGACCAACGCCGAGCCAACAATCCGTCCACCACGAAGTCGGTCTTGTTCACACCTGTTTCCCGTGTAACGTAGATGCAGGCTTCGCCTTTAACAGAAGGCAATTCAAAATGGTTTATACTACGGCTTCCCACGACCTTAAAGTTTTCCACACTGACTGTGATTGTGAGTCTGACTCGTGACAAGATCTACCTGTAGGGACACAGTGAAAATCTATAATCGATTAATTACTTCCATTAAGTTAGCTCGACAGTCTCTTCTGTGAAGGACTCACTGCATGAGAGGTCAATCGCCAAATCGGTGGCAGAGAATTTCAGATTTAGAAAAACCCTCAAAGCGCCGTATCTTTCACTTTTCATATTCGTCAATAAGGTTTCGAAGGAATTTTCAGGGTTAATACGTGAGTTCAAAGTAATTTAAACAAACCTGATACCGACGTCAAAGCAAATAGCAGAACTGCAATTATGGCGGCGAAGATGAGCAGGATTGGAATGAAAATCACCGAACAGCAGCAGACTGATCCCTTTCCACAGACAATTTTGTCCCATTTATTGCCAGGTGTATCTGTAAGCAATAAGAGCAATGCTTTACATAATACCACGATGAGCCTGAGTACAATGTTTATGTTTAAATTTCATTTTAGTTAGGGTTGTTATGGTTCCAAATAACGCGTCTGGGAAATCTATGTAGTCAGAGATTTGTTCTCACTAAACTGGTTTTTCGACCACACGACTCACATGTGAGAACGGTGTCAGCGCCGGAATAGAGTCGATCTCGAAAAGCGCGGTAAAGAAGACGCGCAGCAATGAGGGCTGCGATTGTCACCATGGCAATAAAGGTCACTCCGATTACGTCCAAGCCGATTCGAATGGTTTTCGAGTATTTTGCAATTCCACTGTCTACAGTGGTGGAGATGTCTTCCAGATTCTTGGTCATACCACCAACCTGTGCACTGGTGTCATTCCAAAACTTGTTGATCGAATCGAGCACCGTTTTGAGGTCAAGTCTTTCCTCGATCGAGCCAATCATTTGGGCTGCAGTCGATTTTATTTCCTTGATTGCTTTGTCGACTTCTATCAAATTTGTTCCCAAATCTGATGCAGTTCGGTTCAGTTCTCCGGCAAATTTATTCGTTATACTTATGTCGATTGCATCGAGATCAATTGGACAGTGTAGAATTCCGGTAGCTGTCTACAAAGAATAGGGCGAGAGCCGCATGATTAATACTGTGATATCACTTTCTTGATTGTTGATCGGGTGCGACGTTTGAAATCATCAAGACCACATACATTGCCCACATTTTGGCGTGCTCCCATCCACACGTCTAGTACAAGACCAACAGGTGGCAAGTCGTAGCTAATGTTTCTTAAGCTTACATGCACTTGCTTTATTACTCTGCTTGTTCGGTCACCACTGTCTCACTGATTCGCAATATTTATTTGAATCTGTAGCGGGCCATCGATTAGGGGTCATGGTGAGAGGTCATCCAAGTGAAAACACCACGTGTGCTTCGAAAATTGCTAACCGGTCTACTCATTCTCCGTCACAAAATACCGATTACAACTTACTTTCAAGACTTTGCATTTGTCAACTTTGTCACAGTCCTTAATGGTAGCGAAAGCTTTCATAAATGCATCATGGGCTTCATTCATCTTCTTGCAAAGAGTAGATAAGCTAGTCTTCAAGGTGTTGATCGCTGTGCTTGCACCAGCCACGTAGACTGAGAACGTTTTTACCGCCCGCACAGTTTCGTTCCCTTTTGTCAAAACATTCGCCACGTTCAAGTAAACCAGCAGGTCGTCAATCGTTCCGGAGAGTCCAGATGCAATTCTTGCCTGAAATACGCGCAACGCATCAAGTCCTGACAAAAAACTCTAGCTAATTCCTGCCAAACACGGCCTCCCGTAATGCGTAAGGTGCATTAGTGAGTGTGAACAAAGTAAAATTTAACAAACGACTACGTTATAATTTGGCAGTTTGAATTCAGTTGTCACTTGTGGGATCCGATCGCGTAATTTGTGCTAGCCAACCAACTCTCAATGCGCCTGGCACCATATTCCCACAAAAGCAGATTAGAAGTTGCCTTACATTCGTCTGCTGCAAGAAATCGGTGAGAGATGCATTGGTGAGCGTGCGGCCAGACTCGATGCCTGTGTTCAAGAACTGCGTCACGTGTGTTGTGAGTGCCTGCAGTCCGTTTTGGATGGAACTCGTCTCCTCTGCGCTCCCGTTGTGGGCTTCCAGGTAGCTCATGAGCACACCGATGCTGCTGAAGTAGACGAATATGAGGATGATGCAGGCTGCCAGGAAGGCCACCGCGAGTACCAGGACTGCGAGGTAAGCAATGCGACACATCAGCTGCATATTTCCTAGTCTACTTCGTAACGCAGCCACTTGCAAGGGATTCATCGATCCATACACCTGAAAGAGATCACCAAAGCACTACTAACGAACAATTACTTACAACCTGGTGACAGCAGCTAAACTGGAAACTGTGCAAACAGGTTAAATGTTGTTGGCCTCCTCGACTTTGTCTAGTTTGACAGGGTAGAATGAAGATGCATGATCAAGTGTCGTTTTATCTCTGAGCGCCTCCGCATAAGGCAGTCCTACGAGTGTCATCAAAACTTTGACTTAGGATAACATAGGGTGGTGTATTTAAAAATGGAACTCTTGAAACGTGCCAACGTACCCCTGTTTTGTCACCAACAACATCATCACCACCACCACCACTGCAGCAACAGCAACAATAGTTGATCACTTGGATTGCGATGATCAAGAATACGATGAGCACGTAGAGTGCGACTGTGGTCCAGAAGATGTTGGGCTCGCGGTTGGGGTGGGCGTGGGCGTT